TTTTGCCGTTTCTACGTTATTTTAATTGTATGTTTTTTATGCCTCTTATAATTGTTTTTTATCCAAAAAAACAACTTTTTGTTTCTTTAAACAGGAGCTGATTAAGGTTGTCAAGGATGTGCTCCCAGTAGTTGAACACAGACAATGTGCTAGACACATTTATACAAATATTAGAAAGAATTTTAGTGGTGTACAATTAAGAAACCTTTTCTGGCCAGCCTCTAAAGCGTCATATGAACAACAATTTGAATAAGTGATGTCTGAAATCAAAGGTATTTACACTTTTGAAATTGTTTTAAGTTGTTTTTAAGCTATCATAAGCTGTTTGTTATTGTTCTAAGTCGTTTTAGTTGTTTTAAGTTGTTTTTAGTTGTTTTGAACTGTTTTAAGTTGTTCAAAGTTGTTTTAGTTGCTTTAAGTTGTTAAAATATGTTTAGGCTGTTAGAACTGTCCTTTTATGCTTTTGTTAACTGTTTTGATTTTTTTCCATGTGAATTTAAAGTGGCCAACCTTGATGCATATTTGTACCTTATGGGCAAACCACCTCATACTTGGTCACGTGCATTTTTTGAGACGCATAGAACTTGTGATGCTGCCGAAAATGGCATTTTTGAGTGTTTTAACTCAATAGTGGTAAATGCTAGAAGAAAGCCAATCCTTACACTGCTTGAAGCTATTAGAGTGATAATGATTAAAAGAATGAATAAAATGAGAGAGAGAACTGGGAAATGGGTGGATGAAATATGCCCTGCTATTAGGAAAAAAAATTGAGCACTTAAAGGAACAACAAAGGTACCATTTTGTCACTTATATACTTTAGTACTCGTCGTTCAAAAACTCACTAACTTCTCATTTCCATGTAGATTTTGGCATGTACTTCCATGCGGAGGTGATCTTTTTTGTGGTTAAAAGTGGGTTGGATACTTTCATAGTTGATGTAGATGAAAGATTATGTACTTGTAGGATGTGGCAACTATCGGGTTTGCCTTGTGTCCATGTTGTGGTTTCGATCTTGTCCATAAACAAGATTCCAGAAAGTTATGTTCCAAATTGTTTCAGAAAAAAGTATGTTTATTCAATCATACAATCATTATTTAAGACCTTTAAACGAAATCAAAATGTGTTCGAAAACCAATCACATCAGCCCCTTGCCGCTGTTGCCAAGAAGATTGCCTGGAAGGCCAAAACTTAAAAGAAGAAGAGATGCAGTGGAAAAATTATTGACTTGAACAGGACAGATTGGAAGACAAAAAGAAGAAGAATGACATGTACGAAGTGTAATTAAGCAGGTCATAACAATAGATCATGCAAGAATGAGAAAGAAGATGCACTATTGAAAGATGTCAGACCACCAGGCAGGCCTAGGACTAATTTCCGTAGACAAAACAGCGAAGGGGGTACATGAGGCAGAACGAGTTCAGAAAGGGGTGTTAAAAAGGTAATGTGAAATCTTTGAGTTTCATACTTATTTTATATAGCAATTGCATACTATTTTGTTCACTAATTTGAAATATGAACCATCTCAAGTGAAATCATGACCAAAGTTCATCCCGAAACAAAAGGAGGCCAAGTGAAAGGATAAGTTTGAACAACCAACGGAAAAATACTGCTGAGAAATATGGAGAAGGTAGTAGTTGTGACAAGGCAGTTCCACTTGATTAAGTATCATTGTTATACGAATGTGAATAAGATGAGGTTTTTTTTGTTGAAAAGATGTTCCATAAAATTTAAGATGAACGAATGGTTTTTTATGAATACTTTTATTCGTGAAATAGTGATCTATCGTGAACATGTTTAATTTCTGATATTATAATTTTTAATAAATATATTTGATTAAATTTACAATGTTTAAATGATAAAAATATTAAAATTAAAAGTATAATGTTGTAATAGAAATTGGTAATATTATAATAAAGTGATTTTGAAAGTACAATGCTATAATAAGAAATGTCATGTCAGTCCTATCGTACATGTGGATAGCCTACGTAGATGATGAGGTGGGAAAAGAAGCTGGTATAATGGGTAAATTTAATTAAAAACGGTATCCAATGATATAACGGGTAAATTTTTGAAAGTACGATGCCCTAATAAAAAATATTTCGAAAGTATATTGTTGTAATAATAAAAACTGATAGTAGAATCTTATAATAAAAAAATTTATAAAAGGTTGTCATTTCGCGCATTTTGCCCTAAATATAATATGATGTTAATATTGAAAAAGTTATATTAATAAAACTATAAAAATTTAAAATAAAATAATGTTTTTATTTTTTTTCATGTTTGTATTCTTCTTTTAAAATATAATATGTTTTCGTATTATAGATATTAAATATTAATAAAAAAATAATAATAATATTAATTATAAACAAAACATTCTTAACATCAAAATTTAGATTAAATGTAAGAAAAGTATTATTAATAATAAAAATAAAAATAAAAAATAATTACAATTAAAGTTAGGTGTATGTAATCATTAAGTTACGATGAATTGTAGATAGGGAAGGGTGTCTCTTATATATATAAGTAGGAGTGCAAATATTCCTACCTTAAAGAAACCACAAGTTGTTGATAGAAAAATGTCATTTTCGTGTCATTAACTCTAATGGTCAAATTTTATTCGAATCATATTTAGGTGATCTTCAAACAACTATCGGATATGCTCTAAGGGTCAGGGTTTTCTTCATCCTTTTTCCAGTTCTAACCTGCAATGGTTCACTAGGAATACCTTTATGTACCCGATTTTAAATTCAAAATTTGAATATCAAGAGTTTGTCTCTTCAATGAATGCTCCTGCTCCTGCTCCTGCTTGAGATTGTAAAAGTTAAATCTTCCTGCTCATTCTTGAGTTAGAGATGGAAGATGGTTTGAAGAAGACTAAGCCGATTATCGACTCCTAGAAGGGGATGTTTCAATATTGGTGTTGTCGGGGGTTGCAGTATGGGAGATTGTTGCTTTCCTAGTGTTTGTTAAAATGCTTTTCCTTTGTACTTGAACAAGTGGTTCATGAACTTAAGAATCACTTTTAGATATTACTTGATGTCCTGGTCTTTGAGTTCATTTTTTTGTAAGTTGTTAATGGTTCCATTCCTTTATACTTTTTAGGGATTTTGAGGTCGTGCATATGAGATTCTTAGGTCGTTTGAGATGGATACAGATTCTGAGTCTGGCTCTGCGAGGCATCAAGAGAAGAAAATTGAATTTTAGCAAGGTCTTTGTACATCAAATGATACATTCTTTTGAGTTTGTTCTTGATACAGTCCCTAGCACTGGTTCATACCTCCGATTATGGGCTTTGAGGTATATCCTTTATAAACCCTACTCAAGAGTAATCTGGTGTTGATCATTTATCCTATTTTAGCTGATAATTTATACAGCTTAGCTCACTAAGAATTGTCCACCATATTCTGAGAGAAAGTCCTCCTTGCTTGGGGGTAAGGTTTTTTTTGCATCTCCATGAACGCTTTTTGTTTAGAAATTTTTTTATTTGTTTTCGTTCATCTAAAAGTTAATGTGTGGATGCAGGTATGAGACATCATTATTCAAACTTTTCTCTCATTGCTTCTCTTTTCTATAGCTCGATTGATTTTTTTTAAGGTAAGTTTTAACTTTATAGGCTTGATTGATTTATGGTCTGTATCAATTTAAACCCTAACATCAAGCACCTATAATTCAAAACCTAGGTATATTCGGAAATTTGTTTCTTCAATTGTGATATTTTTGTTAAAATTAGTTTGCATTATAGGATGATAATTTAAGATTTCAACCTATGCTATAGATATTTCATGATGAAGGTGATTTACGATGTGAAATGTCTTCTTGAATGAAGGAATGTGAAGTTTGTTGATATTTGATTCTTTGTGAAATGTCTAATATCATGGTATGTATTTGAAGTTAAAACTTGTGAAATGTCAAAAATAAAATTTTCAGACATTTAAAATTTTCATGTAATATTTTTGGAATTGGTTTTCTATCATATTGAATGAGTTACTGCCAACTTACTTCCTTACAGTGAACGAATCCTATTTAAGAAAGGAGATTAGGGGGATGAGGACTTTAGATGAAAAGTTGATGGAGGAGTTTGAAGTAATCAAACTTTGATTTTGATCTTCACATCGTATGTATGCTCTCTCAAACTATTGACCACAAATATCTATGGTCTCTCGAAAGAGTGTCCATGCCCAAGTAGCTGAAAGTAAGGCCTCAATCACTATCATGTTAGAACAAGTTATATTAAAATTGAACCTACTGCTTTCCTACAAAAAATTATTTCCACTTAGTGGAACTGCTCAATTGATGGCCAAGATCACACACTTTGCTTAGTGGGATCAGGAGTCACAGTATGGGGCATGGGAAAGACAAAGACATACTGAAAAAGTGCCTCATCATGGACTCCATAGATGGATGATCATTTAGACTTTCTTAAGTGGTTTACATCCTTAGTATGAGAATGACATTGCTTCAGCTACTAGGGGTGCTTTAATGAACAAGACATATGAGGAAGCGATCAAGCTTATTGAAAATCTATCCTAGCACAGTTATGCTACACCAAGGTCTTCTATAAAACAAGTGGAAATTGTTCAAGAGTTGTATGTACAAAAGGCAATCAAGGCCCAATTGGCAACCATCACCCACCAAGTTAAGGGAACTACCATACGGCCACCAACCCAGTTTGAATAAGGCATGGCAGAGCTACATCCATATTCTTGGTGAGTCTCAACAACCTGAGAATGTTCAATTTATTCAGAACCAGAATAACCTCCCTCAGAACGATCCATTCTCTAACAGTTACAATCAGGGGCGGAAGAAGCACCTGAAATTTGCATGACACCAGCCGTAGAATAATCTGAAGGAAACTATGGGACATCAACAACAATCTGGTAACAATTTTAACTCTTCTTCTTCTAATTCTAACAATGTTTACTTTCCACCAGGTTACCACCACAAGGACTTTGAAAAAGGGACAAATGCAAGAGAATAAATCAGGACCATAGGAGATGATGATGACGTTTGTGACCAAGACGGATAGTGCTATTGACGAGCTGACATCATCAGTAGGAATGTTATCATCTACTGTTAGTAACGTGAAATCAACAACTTCGGAATATTGCTTCAATTTAGATATTGGAAAGGCAAGTTGGACAAATAGCCGAAGCTCTTCAATCTCGGATCCAAGGCCAAGTCCCTAGTCAGACAGAAAGAAAACCAAGGGAAGATTGCAAGGCTATTCATTTGAGGAGCGGTAAAGAGCTCATCAGAGATCCCACGAGAGAGCCTTTAGTTGCTGACACTGAAAACCAAGACTACCGAAGTTGAATCTAGAGATGTGGAGGAAGTTGAAGTAGATGAGGAGATTGAAATAGAGAATCCTAAGAGTGTAGAAAAAGATCAAGAGAACATTCCACCAAAACTAACCATCCCGAGGATACCATATCCTAACCGTTTCAAAGCTCATAAGGACAATGTTTAGTTTTCTAATTTTCTTGAAGTTCTTAAGAAATTTCATATTAATATTCCTTTTACAGATGCCTTGGAACAAATGCCCTCATATGTAAAGTTTTTGAAAGACATCCTCTTTAACAAGAGGAAGACTGAAGAACATGCAATACTTGCACTCACTAAAGAGTGTAGTGCCATTATCCAACATAAGCTTCCCCTAAAGCTTATGGATCTAGAGAGTTTCACTATCCCTATTGAAATTTAGGTGCAAGTATTAACCTAATGCCTCTATATATTTTCAGGAAACTGGGACCAGGCGAAGTGCAGCCAGTGAGTGTAAACCTTCAACTTGATGATAGCTCCATGAAGTATCCGTATGCGGTGATCGAAGACACACTGATTAAAGTAAACAAGTTTTATTACCTATTTGATTTTGTGGTTATGGACATGGATAAAGACAAAGAGATACCCCTGATCCATGGTCGACCATTCCTAGCCACTAGGGGAGCGTTAGTTGATGTGAAAGAAGTTAATCTGACACTCATAGTGGGAAATAAAGATGTTGTGTTTAATGTGTCAAGAGCAGCAACACATAGGCTGGAATAAGAAGATTTCAACCGCATGTTGTTGTGTTGGTCCCGTAAGGGTCTACAAGAGTTTTATAGAGACAGTTTGTAGAAGGGGGATGAATACAAACACATGAAACTTTCCAAATTTAAAATATATATTGATAAAGAGGGATCAATACATATTTTACAAGATTGTATGCAGAAATAGATAAGGTAAATATAACCTATCTAAAACAATCTAAGTTACACACAAATGATCTTAGCAAAGAGAAAAGATTTGTTGTTTAAGACTAAGAAGAAAATTAGTTCTTTCTGGGTAAGAACTTTTTAGAATACTTGAAAAGGGATTCTAACTTGCTTTGAAGAAAAACGTAAGTGTTCTTAGGGGTGTGTGTGTGTTCTTTCACGTGTGCATGTAAGGATTAAGGTATCTCTACATGAGATAACACACATATATTTATACCAATTGCATTAAATGCACAATTAATGCAATGTAGTAGGGTTTGAACACGCGTCAAGCTTTTAGAGAAAAGCTGGTCATTTGGTACAGGGAATAGTACAAAAGCCTATTCATGAGCAGACATCCTTTCATGGAGTTGGTGGGTAGTAGGGTCAACTAATCGGCTCCGTACCATACTATACTCTAGAAAGGGTATGGGTTTGTTCTTTGTGTGTGGAAGGACAAGACAAAAGCAATCTTGCACAACAAGCTTCATTTGATCGTTGAATGCTGGAATAACCCTGAAGGTCTTTTCAGCAGTCGTTGAAGCTTAGGAAGTCTTCACACATATGTTGACCAGGTTGTAATCACTGAATGCCGCTTTAGATCACGAACATGCTAGTCTCTAATCTTCAGTTTCAGTCTTCGACTTTCGCTGAAGGTTCTTTGGTGTGAGTTTTATCTTCTTGAAATCGTTGTCGCTGATGGATTTACATTACATGTCTCAGCGATCACTGAATAGACTCAGTGATGATCGCTGGAATTGAAAGACAGAAACATAATACTTAGTATTAAGTAAAAAAGATTATCATCAAATCAATGAGAGAGATGATCAACAATCTCCCCCTATTTGATGATAACAAAGCAACATAAAGAAAGTTGCCTTATCAAATAGCAGTAAGGAAAAGTTACATATAAAGTACATGTCCTTTTTAACTATTTTGGGATCTTTTTCAGTGAGTCAGTTTTTACTTAGAAAATTTTTCTTAAGTTACAAATTTAAGAAAATGTATAAGAAGGGAAACGGAAACTGAAACCATGTGCACTGACTTATTGTTAGTGAATGTAAGAGAAACACTGGAACACATAGACATATGTCCCTATTACTATTTTTAGGGATCTTTTTCAGTGATGTAAATGAAACACTTACATTATTTCAAAGGAAAGTATTACAAGTTTAGTATATGTCTTAGACTTACAATATCTAAGTTGACACTGAAAGTCGACAAAGAATACAAAAGGTATACATTGAATGGACGAATTATAAAAGAAATAACTAATCTAAGTTGTTCAGATTAATGTAGCCAGGTACATTTTCTCTGAGCTCCTTTCGATGTCGAAATCCCTTTCTGATCTTGATGTCCATCGTTTCACCATATATGTCATCGTTCAGCCAATATCGGATGTATGCAAGATATTCCATTGGGCAGAGATGCAACTTAGACATTCTTTGGAAGCTGACTTTGCCTTCATATTCAAGAAAGATGAATCCTAACTCAGGCTTGATGTGCATAGTGTTGGGTATGTAGGGACCCTTCGCTTGCAGTGAGAGATTCAACATAGAGATATATGGCTTCTTCGTAGCCTTAAGGACTTCATCCAAGGAGAACTTTTTTTCATGTTTGTTCCTTAGAGTTGGTCCGTCATTAGGACTTGAAGGTCTATTTCTTCTTCCACCTTTCTTCAGAGTTGGCTTCAGGGACTGCGACATACCTGGACATCTTCTTGATCAGCTCGTTAATGATGTCTTCAATAATCGGCTTATGTCGAGATTTTGAGTGCTGAATGGCTTGGCGGATCTCTAGCCATTCACTATAGCCGTATTCGCTGAGGTAGGAAGGATACTCGGTCACCGCCTCAAGGTTATCCCTGGTGATGAGCATTGAGACCAGCAACCCACCGTCTTTCATCCATCCACTGATGGTGACGTTTGAGACAAGATGAGGGCTGACTCTATTTTGTAGACGTTCTTCGCTCCATTTTCTATCGTGCTCGGCCGGTATCAAGTTTTTCTTGCGATCAACTTCTGCAATAAAGAGAAGCTTAGTCTGATCCTGGACAACATTCACCAGCTTTTTGGATTTCTTCCTTGGAAGACTTTGGTGGCTAGAGACTTGGCCAACTTTAAGTTGTCCTCAATCTGTTTTCTTTGAAGTTCTAGTTCTTCCTCGACCTTGAAAGCCTTGAGTCTTTCAGCTTCAGTCAGGAAGTCAAAATCACCACAACTAGAGGTACGAAGAGGAATTTTTACTTTAGTTTGGTCGAGCGATTCCCTAAGCTGAGACATTTGCTGGTCGGTGGGAGCATTGTGGGATGGGTTCTCAGGGACCCATTCCTCCAGCCGATTGCAGGTAGTTGTGGGGATGGAGAGTTGGTACATAGAAGTTATGGTGATTTGGCTAGAGGACTCATTAGATAAAGGTTCTAGAGGTTTGAACAATACCTTAAGGTTGCCTTCTTCAGCAACACATTTGTCTTTTGACTTGGTGCTCTCATGCTTTTCTTGACTCACCTCTTTCTCCCTTTGCTCCCCCTTGGATGCAGAATCCTTAAGGGCGAAGCCTTTCGTGGCACCAGCAGGTCTTTGGTACTGAATAGTGAAGTCGTCGTCATCATCATCATCATCATCATTATCGTCCAGGTCATTTCTAGCGTCAGGAAGGTCGAGAGATTCACCGTCTTCTACATCATCTTCTTCATCGTCTTCTTCCATATCACCAACATCAGCTGCAAAGGCGATGGAAGGTCATCATCACGAGATTCAACATCAGCTTCAACATCCTCAGATACAGGAGCTTCACAGGAAGTTGGATTTTCATTAATAACCTCAGCTTCAGCTTCATCTCTAGGAGCTTCAGCTTCAGCGTCATCAGTTGCTGGTACAGCAGGCTCAGGGGCAGCAACAACATTGGAGGGACCAGCTTCAGATTTTGTCTCCCTTTTTTTTGAAATAGCTTTGGAGTAATAGCCAAAGAAGTAGTCAACGGTACGAATTTGTAGCGCCATCATTTCTTCAAGGCACGTCATAGCACGGGCTAAGATAATTGTAACCTCACACGCTTCATCTAGCTGGGCGTGGTCATCAGTGGTGAACGAGGGTTCAGGCGCTGGAACGGGATGTTGGAGAGCGGCCAAAATTTGTTGCATTAGCTTTGTATGCTGAGCAAGATGGGAGTTTGCTTCATCGGCCTTGCTTTTAAAGCATCGATGGCCTCAACATTGGCTTGAACTGCGACTTGCATGTTGGAGAGCTGGCCTTTGACCTCTTGAACTTTATTCCTGACGACTGAGAAGTCAGCAACTACTTCATCCATTTTGATGAAGACCGTCTCGACAGCAGGGAGGAGTAGCTTTACGTCCTTAGCCATGTTGTATTCTTCTTTCATGGTTTGTTCCTCAGAAGGACCTAAAAAAGATTGAGAGTGAGCATAAGGAAGCTTAGGGTTAGTATAAGTGAGTGGGTAGGAAGATGGAGTACCTGAGGGGTCTTCAGCATTATCTAAGGGATTAACGCTGGTGCACTCCATGGTGCCTTCAAGAGGATAGGAGCTAAAATACTGAGGTTCCTCGAGAGGAGCAACCTCAGGTCACGTTGTGGGTGTCTCATCATCAGGGAGGACATTCGCTACTGAGGTTCCTCGAGAGGAGCAACCTCAGGTCACGTGGTGGGTGTCTCATCATCAGGGAGGACATTCGCTGATGATTCATAGAAACATGTAGAGAGCAAGGAAGGAGGGGAGGAGAAGATGGCTGAGATTGAAGGTAGTGGGTGTTCAGTAGTGGCAATGCTAATATTCTCACCTTCAGTGATTTGGGTCACTAAGGCGGTTGGGTGAGGTGCCACGGGTACGACAGTGATTTCAGATATCACTGAAGAGCTGGGAAGGCTGACTGAAATTGCCTTGGGGGTAAGGCTTGTTTCAATAGTTGAGATCTTTTGAGAAGTCACAGCCAGAGACGTGGTTGTCCCTTTTTTTGGCTTTCTTGGTCCTCGAAGGAGAACCAAGAGTTGGTTGAGATGGGCGTTTCAAAGAGAGGGCTATGGTGGTTGGGTTAGACTTAGGGGGTTTTCCTTTATCTTGACCACCTTGGAGGGAGAAGAAGAAGGATGAATTGAAGAGTATTGCACTACAGAAGAAAGTGCAACATCTCCATCCCTTAGCTTGTGATCCAGAATCCTGGATCCAAGCTTGTAGACAGGAAGGTTACGTTCCTTCGAGTATTTTTTGTCGAAGATCTTGGTGAAAACCATTGACAAAAAGCGATTGTAGGGAATGACCTTCTCCCTGTGGCGCTTGTTCAGCTTCAGTGCCAGATCATCGAAGATCACTGCAGCAAAGTTGATGAATCGGCGGCGAATGACGGATACGCTGATAGTGAGAGCGACCCTGGATGCCTGATCCTGACCACCCGTCTTTCCACCTATACTCTAGATGAATTGAGAAAAGAGAAATTTCCACACCGCTGACATGCGGTTCTTCGCTATTTTCGACAGTGATTTGAGAGGCTCGCTGGAGTCTTTCTTTATTGGCCATTGGTAGCCAATATCATCGAGGCAAGCGATGATGTTTTTATTCGAAGGGTCGCTGGCAAAAGGACCCTTGGGAAAACGAAGAGCATGCTTAAGAGTGTTCATGCCAAAGCTTACGGTCATCCGATTGAAGGTGAAGAAGATTTTCTCCACCTATTGACCCTTTTTGTCAGTTTCCTCCACCACTTCAGCAGTCATCCAGAATTGCTGAAGGGCCTCATTCATCATGACAAATTCATGGGTGAGAGAAATGGCGATGGGGACATCTTGAGGAAGGCAGCAACAT